CGCACCCCTCGGTGTTGCCCCCACGCCTCGCTCAGCCAGTGAGCAGGAACCGGTCTGTATGTCGGATCCGAACCCTCAGCGGGAGCGCCTGCCGCGCTTCCCAAGCAGCGCACTATAGCAGTGCGCCACCGGGCCGGCCCTGTATCACTTTTTAAAATTGATTTTCAATGACTTCANCTCAATTATATAAAAATAGATCTAAGTCTATAGGTTTCTGCTTGACAAAACAAAAACAAACAAGACTTACTTCATCATCTTCTTCGTCGTCTTTTTCTTCAACATCTGAAGAGTCACTCTCTGCCTCCTGTTGTTCTAAGGCTTTGTCGAAGGCATGGATGGGGAAGTTGTAGATGTCGCCATACTGAAGCACACAAACACAGAATGGCTTTCACTACATTTGGATAGTACATTTGAAGTTCCACTATCGGACAACCACATTATTTTCACCTTAGTGGTGATTAAATAAGTAATATTGATGATTAATATTTCAATGTAATTTTCAACTTAGAGCTGGCAGTGTCTTTAAAAAGCCTGTTTTTGACATTTAAATAATCAGTGGTTAATATCAAGTAGATAGCTTCTATGGAGGATGAAACCAGATCATTTAAAATTTAGTAGTCTACAAAACCCATGCACTGGGACAAATGTCATTTTGCTGACAAGAAGTATTAAGGGAAAAGTGTATTTTAATCGTTTATGTAAATGACACTCATTTTTAAAAAGAGAATAATAAATTTGAAGAATCTTAAAAATCTAGAGTAATTTGTAGGAGGGGCAAAACCGTATGGCTTTTATACAGAGACTTGAAATTGTTGCATTTGTGAGTGGGAGTAAGGAATAATGGCAAAAAGGGAAAGGGCTCAATTGGAGTCTATCAAGGGTAACCAAAGCATTTTATATGCTTGCATCAATGAACTAAAATGAGAAAGCCAGGCCTATATGGATTAATTTTATTCCAGGGATAAAATCAGAATGGGGATCTTACTAGCATCTTTAAAAATAAAATACATTTTCCAGTATTTGCTAGCATAATACTACCACCTAAAAATAAAATTTGTACCCCAGAGCTATTAGCTTTCCCACCGTATCTTGTTTCAGTCTCTCCAGTAATTCCTTCTCAATGGCATTGTCCAGCTGAGCAGCTACTAATGCCTTTTCCTATAAGAGAAAAAGAGCAAACCCATTTACTTTATTAGTACTCATTTTTCAGCCTGTAGAAGTGGAAGAAACTACCAAGTTTGTGTGTTTTTTAACTAAAAGAAAGATGATATAATCATTTTCTCCCTTGCTATTACTGAGGCTTCTGCCTCTCCAACCAGATACTTTTCTTCTTTCCCTCTCAAACCTTCTTGGAAATCTTTCAGTTTTAAAATTCCTGTGGTTTTACAAATAGTATTCTAAATTAAATCATAACAAAGCTTCTGATAGATATTCAAAACATTTAAGTCTACATACATATTTCAGTGACTCATAAAATTAGCAACCCTGGAACTAGACTTTGTAAAAGCTGAGAAAAGGAAACAGACACTTTCGCCCATTTACATTTTCTTTTAAATTTTATCATTTAAGGGTACATATTTGTGGGGTACAGTGTGTTGTTTCAATACATGCATATGCTGTACACTGATTCACTTAGGGTAGACAGCATAGCTTTGTACCCATTAATCCACCACAGAGGGCTTCAAACTCATTATAGAAAAATTTAATTTCTTCTGAAAGGTTTGCAAGAACACCTGTTTGACATTTCAGGGAAGATGAAATTTCACCAGCTGGACTTGAACAAAAACTTCTGCATAATTGGTGGAGGAGATTGAAAAATTAAGAGCAAGTATTTAATAAAAACTATCAAAAATACACTTCTCGGGCCGGCCCGTGGCTCACTCGGTAGAGTGCNACTGAGGGTTGCGATCCGTTGCCGGACACGGAAAAAAGACAAAAAGGGAAAAAAAAAAAAAGTTTGGAGATGATACGACAGAGTTGAGGTACAGAACTCTCATTATAGGGAACAAAAACACCAAAAGATTATTACCGCTTTTCTTAACAAGACAAATGATCAGGCAAATGTGTGTTGGTGAAAGGGAGGTAAGCAAGGCAAATACCAAGAATAACTGAAAGTTTGAACTTATAAGGAAAAGATGATCCCTGGATCTTGAAACATAAGAAAGTTCAGATTGTGTGAGGTATCAGTGAAGTGGACAGGCAGACTATTTTCTGGGACAGAGGTTGGAAATTCCTAACTAGAGTATATTTTCCAAAGACAAGATAGTATTACAATCACTATTCACTACTTTAGTAACAAACCTGCCCAGTTTACTTCAAAGATGCAAATAATCCCAGATCAAAGTATTTTCCAGTTCTTCAATAGCTATTTCAGAATTTGAAAAACTCAATTTAAAGGCCACATATGACCAGAACAGACATGAGGCTACTTAAAGACATTAAAAAAAAAAAAAATCCATCTAGTGTGAACATTCTTATTTTTCACCACAGAAATACCAGTATGTTTGATTAGAATGCGCAAACTCTGATGAAGGTAATATAAAAGATTTATAAGACAGACAACATTAAAATTCTGAATTCTGAAACATTTGACCTGAAAGATTTCAGACAAGGAGTTGTGAATCTCTAATTAAGGTATTCTTTCTGTTCTACATTACATATGTCCCCAAAGCACCCATAGTTTAACCTGCCTTGAAAGTCATAAACTTAAGACATGAAAAATTAGACGTCTTAGGCAACTAATACGGTTAGCCATTAGTGAACCATTATCCAGGGCCTGAATAGTTTACACAGACTGACTCTTTTTCATGAACCCTGCCTACACAGCTCTCTCCCAATGGAAATACAGAAACTGAATGTCAGAACAAGTTACCTCTCTTCTTTTTTCCCTACGCTCCACCTTCTTACTCAAAGGAACAAGTTTCTTCCTAGGGGAAATAAAACACATTATCAGAAAATCCAAGTTCATGTACTATGTGTTCCTTTTAAAAGACGAGAAGATAAAAGGGAATTAACTTTATAGGGCTTCAGCCAACACAGCGAGATACATTACTTAAAATTTTCTAGAAGTTTAATGCTATAAAAAGTCAGACATCTTTACATATATTTTCATATTGCTGTTTTTGTTTTCTTTAGCCATTCTGAGACTCATGAGGCATTCACCATGTTAAGATTAATGCTTCGGTGAACCAAGAAAAAGGAGATTTCTACAGAAGGCTGACCTCACCATCGGCATTCTCTGCAGGTCACAAGGAAAAAGCGTTAGGGCCTAACACTCCCTGAGAAGGTATTCTGTTAATTCTGTGAATTTGTATCACTTTTTTTTTTTTTTTCCTTTTTGTCTTTTTTCGTGTCCGGCAACGGATCGCAACTCTCAGTGTCGTGCCCGTACCGGACCGGGAGGGGCAACGGGATCGCAACCCTCGGTGTTGCTCCCACGCCTCGCTCAGCCAGTGAGCAGGAACCGGTCTGTATGTCGGATCCGAACCCTCAGCGGGAGCGCCTGCCGCGCTTCCCAAGCAGCGCACTATAGCAGTGCGCCACCGGGCCGGCCCTGTATCACTTTTTAAAATTGATTTTCAATGACTTCAGGGTAAAGTCCTTACATTGTTGCTTATTCACATATTTTAGGTCATTTTTATTTTTATTTTTTTGTCCTTTTTGTGACCAGCTACACCGCGCTCAGCCAGTGAGCGCTGTGACCGCACCAGTCATCCCTATATAGGATCTGAACCTGCGGCGGGAGCGCCACTGCACTCCCAGTGCCGCACTCTCCCGAGTGCGCCATGGGCTCGGCCCTAGGTCATTTTTAAACCAATAACATTAAGATTCCCTCAGGGAGTTACAAAGAAAATTTTATGAGATTTTCAGGCAGGGAGGGGAATAATTAAGTTGTACTCTACTGTTTTAAGAATCTTAGAGAATCAAAGAGCACACTTTTAATCTGAAGTAAAGTTTATCCTTCTTTGTGTATCAAAAAGATTACACAAAGTTGAATTTAATAGGAAGCATTATTAGTGGTTTTGCAATCTCACAGCTTCATAACATGCTGCATGGAAAGAAAGTTAGAATTAAAAATAAGTAAATGAATGACCAAATACTTACTGTCGCTTTAGTGTAAGTTTTCTAATTCGAATTAGGTACTGGGTGATCTTGGTGAATCTCTGCTTGCATTTATGTCGAATGTAACGGGGCCAGTAAATTAGATTTTCATCTATTTGCTCCAGTGCTTTCTCATAGTTTTTATTGAGCCGGACCTACCAAACAGAAAAAGGGAGCTTGAAGGGGAAGGGTAAATGACTTATTGGGTCTTCACTGTCAACAACACCTATGGGGCCTAATGAGGTTGGCTTCAAAAGTTTAATCTAGATATGGCCAACAAAAGAAGGAAGAGCATTTGGCATTTTTGCTTATGATCAACAGTCACTGTTGTTTTGTTATAAGTCTTACCCGTTCCCAGAGACGCCTAGGAAAAGCTGCTCGTTCTATAACCTTCATATACAAGTAGCACTGTCCTGAAGGAAAAAGTAAAATACCTTTAATATTATTTACAGAAAGACTAAAGAACATCCTTTTAAAAGCTGTTGAGTAGTTCTCATGAAAGTTAAGACTGGGGGCCGGCCAGTGGCGCACTGCTACAGTGCTCCGCTTGGGAGCGCAGTGGCGCTCCCGCCAAGGGTTCGGATCCCACATACAGACTGGCCACTCACTGACTGAGTGAGGTGCAGGTGCAACACCGAGGGTTGCAATCCCGTTGCCGGTCCTGGTCCGGTACGGGTGCAACACTGAGGGTTGTGATCCGTTGCCGGTCATGAAAAAAGACAAAAAAAAAAGGAAAAAAAAAAAAAGAAAGTTAAAACTGGGGTTAGCTCAGTTACAGCACAGTGTTATAACACCAAGGGGAAGAGTTTGGATTCTCGTACCAGCCAGCCACCAAAAAATAAAGTTATACATTAAAAAAAAAAAAAAGAACTGGAGGGTTACCTTTCTCTTCTTTGATAGTGGCATACTGACTATTTGCCAGGGGACAGGACGACCGATTACATAGTCCAGTCAGGTTGTATTCATTTCTGCAAAAGCTCTGAGTCTTGGTTCTAGAATGGTAGCAAAGAAACAAAGATTATAAGACAGTAAATGAAGGAATCTTCATCTAAGGTGCAAAACTAGACTGACCTTATTTTGAAGGAACAAAATTGCTTGTTTCCTAGTGTATCCCAGATAACCTGCAAGACAAAATAAAAACCCATTTCCATTGTGCTGACCCAATAGATGTCCTATGTATTCAAGAAGACAATGCCCTAGGGCAATGCCTGCTTTGTCGAGGAGTCTTTAAGGAATGAGGAATTTTGTAAAATAGCCTAACTTGTTTTCTTTTCTTTACACAAAAAGCAGATTCTTGTTGAAAAACTGAATACAAATTGGCAATAACCATAACCCTATTACCCAGAAATAAAATTTCATTAGTATTTTGCAAATATTTTTCGAGAATTTTTTATATATGTGTGTACATTCCACCAACTGTAATATGCCTGTGTATATTTTTTAACAAAAATGAGACCATATTATATTTTGTAACTTTTTTACTTAATATGTTCATTATCCATTGTTAGAGGCTGAGTGGTACTGGATTTTTGGTTATACATACCATAATTTTATCTTATTAAGGGCAAGGAAAATTATCTATTGCTATCCTCCACTAACTAATGTTCTCTTCATTCAGCATTTACTATATACTGTACTTAATTTATG